GAATTAGATAAATTTAGCTTAGCTTACACCATCCGTTATACATTAAACGCGCATGCGTAAACGTATTATGCGCATGCGCACACGCATATTCGCAGCCATAAAGGTCTTACGCACAAGCGTAAACGCCTATGCGCATGCGTCAACGCGACACAGCTTTGAGGTAGCTTTGAGGTCCGGATTATAGATCATTCCGGATTATGGGTGTCCGAATTAACGACTTTTGACTGTACAGAATTTAGTTCAGCTGAATTAGTGTACGGGAACAACCTCAGAACACCTGTCGCATTACTGTACGAGAAATGGTTAGATCCTCAGGAAAAAGAAGACACCATAATAGAATACGTTTTCTAATTAATCAATAGGCTAAAGAAATAGCTACAAATGGAACAAATGGTAATGCCATGAAAAGGGAATTCCAGCAAGGAGATTCCGTATTAGTATTAGCAGTGAACCAACCCCATAAACTCACTCCTTAATGGAAAGGGGTGGGAAAAATAGAGAAAAGATTATCAGAAACAAACTATGTGGTTAGTTTTGAAGAGAATCAGGAAGAGAATAAAGTGTATCACATCAATATGTTAAAACCTTATCATAAGAGACCTGAACTTTTGAATATGGTGCTCCTTGACAATGAGGAGATAGTTGAACCCTCGGAATTAGAGGAGGATTTTCCTTATATGTTAACCGACCCCAATGTGTTTGATTTTAATGAAATAATAGCAAAAGATAATCTTAAAGAAAGACTTAGTGATGAACAAATCCTGCAGTTGGGAAAGTTGTTGGTAAAGTTTTCTGCTATATTTTCGAATATTCCAGGGAAAACAAATTTAGTCGAACATGATATCGAACTAATCAGTGACAAACGCGTACAGCATAAGCCTTATAGAATGACAAATCGACAGAACGAAATTCTTAAAGTCGAGATTGAAAAAATGTTAAAATACAAGATTATTGAACCAGGACCCTCTGAGTATACTTCACCCATGATCCTTGTTGAAGCACCAGGTAGGGATCCTAGGCCGTGTATTGATTACAGAAAGTTAAACGAAATAACGCGTACTGAGTTCTATCCGATCCCCAATATAGAGCAACGTGTTTGAAACTGTTGCAGCAGCCAAATTTATCACCTTGATAGACTTAACTAAAGGTTATTGGCAAATTCCGCTGACCCCTAGCGCAGAAAAAATTGCTGCATTTGCTACAAATTTTGGCGTATATAGGCCTTTGCGCATGCCATTTGGGCTTAAAAATGCTCCTTATTATTTCAGTAAAATGATGAGCGAAATATTGTGTGCGGATGTGTGAGAAATATGCTACCCCTTATTTAGATGATATTGCTATTTTTCTGAAACGTGGGAGGAACATTTACAACATTTACATGAAATTTTAGAAAATAAGAAAAGCCAATTTAACTATTAAACCCTCTAAGTGCAAGTTTGCACAAGAAGAAGTGCAATATCTCGGTCACATAGTAGGTCGAGGAAAAAACGTTCTCCAGCAGAACTAAAAATCGAAGCGGTTCAAAATTTTCCTGTTCCCACAACTAAAACTGAGATTAGAGCTTTCTTAGGGTTAGCTGGATACTACAGACAATATATACCTATGTTTTCTGCTATAGCCGCACCTTTGACAGATTTGTTTAAAAGGGAATAACAAAAAGGGTAAAATTGTTTGGAATGATGAATGTAATGAATCATTCAAATCGTTAAAAGAAAAGCTATCTAGTAGGCCTGTGCTACATGCACCCGATTTTTCTAAACCATTTATACTACAGACAGACGCATCAGATCAAGGATATGGTGTTGTTTTAGCCCAGAAAGGATGATAAAGGGAAAAGAACATCCCATATTGTATCTCAGTAAAAAATTTACTGATAGTGAGCGGAAGTATTCCACCACTGAAAAAGAGTGTGCCGCAATTCTGTATGGAATAAAAAAACTGAAAGGGTATATAGATGGGCAGACTAAATTTTCCAATTCAAACGGACCATAATCCCCTAGTATGGCTAAAAAAATAATGCAGGTAGAAATGGTCGATTGTTACGCTGGGCCTTAGCCTTGCAATCTTATAATTTTACGATACATCATAAAAAGGGAAGTGACAACTTAAATGTAGACTGCTTAAGTAGAAACTCTGTACATGCCAGTTAAATAGACTAGTTATCATTTCTTTTAAATTGTCTTGTTATTTGCTTATATATATTGTATTTTTTTTAATTCATACTATATAGTAAATTGTTAGCTTTATTCATAAAGACAAAAATTTTTGTGTTGTTTTTTCATATATTGTATAAATATATGTATTGTTATATGCATTTTTTTTATGATGACCTGGTTATGAGAATGGAGAGCCTTTGTAACGGTGTGATTTTTAAATTAACTGGTAAAATGTTGAACAATCTCTATTGAAACCAGAAACTGTAAACTTTAAAAAAAAAATGTTCTCCTGTTTCCGGAGAAACAAAAACTGGAGGCAGAAGGTGTTTGTTTGTAGCGAACGCCTGCTTGAACTTTTATTTTATCCTGTAGGAACTTAAAAAAGTTTTGTTTCCTCTGTGTCCGAGGAAAACAAAATCTGGAGGCGAAAGGAGTCGGTCTATAAAGAATGCTCCTGAACTCTCTACTAGAAAGACCTACAATGCTCTCGACTAGAGAGAACTTTGTTAGCAGACTCCTCACACTACAAGGACTATAATTCATTTTTAATACCTATTTTAAAGAACTGTGAATGGGAATGACATAACTGAGTAATGCACATGCATAAAGAGAAAAGACTTCTGGTCAGAGAGAGAGTTGAGAAGCTCCGCCAGCGAGTTGAGGTGCGGAGACTTTATTCGTCCAGTGATGACGAGTTAATGTCTCTGATCGTGTCACCGGCTCGGATATCTACTAAAGTTTTCTAAATGTGAATGTGCTGTCAATAAAAAGTGACGCATCACCAATACCAGTGTTACTTCCCTTACAACTGGAGCATCCACGATGTCACACATGCATTCATCAGACTACCGTAATTTCCGGAAGAAAGGCCGCATCAGCGTAAACGGCGCACTCGAGAAAGGCGGAAAAAAATTAAATTACCAGAACGCCGCATCACAACGCCGCAATAGATTTAAATTGCGGTGACATCGTCGTGGGCTGTATAGATGCAAAAACTCAACTAAGTCCTGATATATGACATACCAGTTAAGGAAAAATGCATGAAATGAAACCATAACTCAAAAATAAATTAAAGGTAAGAAATGTTACTTCTGTGCCGTTTAGAGACATTTTCAAAAATTTTCCGCTCCCTTCTTACTTAAAACTATCAACAGTACTTGTACCCAAACTGATGAGATCTGTATCGGGCAGAATGCCAAGAAAAATGCGATTCAAGCTGAAGGGGAAATATGTCAGAGTTCGTTATTGCAAGGCAGGTGGAGTCATGTCTGCCTTTTGAAAAAAATTACAGAATTACAGAAAAGGCAGGGGTCGGGAGAGGATGGGTCCTGGAAGATTCATCGAATGGCAGAGGAGAGAGACTATTCAAACTGATGAGAATGTTGATTTGAAAGGTGGAAGTAAGTAAGAAGTAAGATTTGGGCTTCCCTGCCTCGTGGAACTAAATCACATTACAGGTCTGCTCCCCCTTTGGGCACGTTGTGGAGGTTCAACCTCCACTATTACCCTCCAGAGGAGCAGCGCACCACCTGGAATTCACCAGGCAGCACCGGTCGTCTAATGCTCCTACCAGTCGCTTGGGCGAGCCCGTCGCAGCAGGACATTACCCAGCGAACCCGGGCTACTAGTACCACGCCGCGCTAGGACGTGCCAGACTCCGAGGCCGGCCAATTAGTGACCTTTCCCAGAGCCTTCAGAAACACCAAGTTCATAAATTTTATACCCCCGTGGCCGAGACTGCCTAGGTACAGATCCTAGCCAGTAGCTTCGCAGAATTCTCTACCTCGACCCCCGGGGGGGGGTGAAAAGGGGAAGAATGTTATTGTTCTGAGATCTCGTTTAGGGTGAATAAGGCATGTAGGTCCGTTCAAGGGAAAGAATGTAAACAAAATAACGTTCGCAGAAAGCAACTGAGTGGTCTTTTGTGTGGGAACAGCACCAGTCTATGCACAATGACAAGGCCATCCAAACTATGTACAATGACCATCATAGGAAATATTTTATTTTTAGTGCACCTAAACACCGCATGGGTAGAAGCGCCGCACCCGCTGAAAATTTAAGTTTTAAACACGTAAACGCGCGGCGTTTCTTCTGGAAATTACGGTATATAATGGTGCTAAAGATAATTTTAGCATGTATATAATCTATATTTTTAATTCCAAATTGCATTTATATAATTAACCATTCACATGGCCTGCTGTCTATAATGGTTTATTATAAAAAAGTAAATACACAGAAATGATTTTAATGAGTCTAACCAGTATAATTTCATCTTTATAGCTAGTAATTAATAATAACTGCATTTATCATTTTTAAATTGCTTAGTAATCTACAAAACACAGATTAAACTTAAAAGAAAAATTAAATATCCAATACTTTGTCGAATGACAATATACTGGCAAAAGGAAGAAAAAAAGTATTTTATTTTGGGCAGCGGCAAAACATTTCTTTTAAATCACTGAATTTGTTAATCAAATTATCATTAAATTTCCTCAAAATATGAAATACATAAATGATAAAAAATTTTGAAAATTCAAAATTTGGGATTAAAGGTGCAATTTGGGATTTAATGTGTTTATATGAAGGATTATGTGTGTGTTCAAAATTTGGTGGCTCTTAAAAGTTGCTACTTTTCCGCAATGCAGGGAACATACAGATTCATTATTATTTAAAAATAGAGATTATAACATGGTTGTTATGCCATATTTACAAAGATAATCATAACTATTACCATATGGGCTTTACTTTCTCAATTTTTATGCCTTTAGGCAACATTTTCACATAAAAGCCTAAATTATTAAACAAATTATCCATGCAACAAAGGCTCAAAACCCAGGATTTTACCTAGCCATTGCTGAGCATTCGATGTGCCAACCTGGTCTTCCTTTTCCCCAAGGAGATAACCAGTATGGTTCATCAGGTTTAGCTGCTTTCCATACAGCAAAATCTCGCTGATCTTTTTTTAAAGGGTCAGTAACTAATTGGCAATCTTCAGGTAGATTCGACAATATATCTGCTGAAATACCTTTGGATACCATAAAGTAAACATTACCTACATAATGATGAATACAAATCACTGTTACCGTAATGTCTGGGAAAATATTATAAAATAAAATTCATAATTATATAATTAAAAAAAATAAAAAGTTAACTAAAAAAATGGAAACATTAAATTTTGTCAACAATTAAAATTTACTTTAGCATGTATCTCTTTGTTCTTCTTAACTACTTTCAACTATATTTACACAAGCAGACCAAGAAATTAAAATGAAAAAAATTTCTCCTTTTCATACAGAATACATTAGCAGAAACACAAAAGATTTCTCAACTCTGCACTTCTTGGATATAAAAAAAAATGTATTATAAATTTAAGTCACATGAATTTAATGCAAACATAACTATTTTATGTTACTATTGAAATATTTATCACTGAAACTGGTAAGGAAACAAAAGGACAAAAAATAACCTAAATAGCAATTGTTAAACAGGGTTCATAGCCACATTTTAGTTAAAAAAATAAGCACCTATAAGCACTTTTCAAGCACATTTTAAGGAAAAAGTAAGCACCTGTCTAATTACATTATACACAACTGCATACCCTTAAAAATTAGATTTGTAATTTAAAATATGAGCAATGCAATATTTATTAAGAGAATGAGCATTACCTCAACCATGGAAAACAATTAACTTTTTTTTTTTAAATTTTAAATGACAGTTCAATTTACAGAATTAGTTTACAATGAGAGAAAAAAACTATGCAGAACTAAACTATATTACAAAATTTAATGATGAAATTTCAGTTCAAAATATAGAAAATAAATAATAATAAGCCATATTAATTGTATTCGTTTGGCACCTAATAATAAATACAATTTATTTTTCCACTCATATTAATATTTAAATAATTTAAATCAAAATTCTGAACATTTTCTAAATTTTCATTGCATAATAGTTTTTCCTTAACATATATCCCAAGCAAAGTAATTTAAGTAAAAAAGAGGCACATTTCTGAAATCAGAAGACAGGAAATTGCTTCATGCAGTCATCCTCTAACTGTAAAAGCTTAATTAACCCGCATACTCGGAAATTGCCGAATATTCTGGATAGTAACTGGAAAAAGAGGAGTGGCAGGGTTGCCACTCAAACAGGAGAATGAAATTCCCTGACTTTTCCAGGTTTTCCAGGTGCATTTCAAGAAAATTCCAGTCTATCCGCGTAATGTACATTGGCTACGCTAAGAGGTAAATTATGGTATTACTTGTATTGTGTAGCAAATTCACTTAATTATTCAATAAATCCCAGAGGACATTTATTCTTAATTATTCTTGGTATACTTTGTTTGATAATTTTGTTTACTTTTCCACTGAAGAACTTAATAAAATTTAAGATATATACATTGGATAACAAATGTATGTTTTATTTAATTATTACTCATGATCATCACCAGTTTCAACACGAGGCTAATCCGGTCTTTATAAATCACAACGCAATGCTAAATAGTTAGGTTAGATTTTAGGTAAATTTAATTTGTGAGGTATGTTCTTAAAAGCACCTTAACACTTGAAAACACAAATATAATTATAATAGTTGTTGTTTTCTCCATTGAAGATTGAGATTAGAATCTTCCCAATCTGGAATAAATAAGGCTTTTTTTGCAGACATTCTGCTGCTAAACGAAACAAAGAAATCTATTTTAATAACTGAGGTATTTTATATTTATTCGCAGCATACATAAGAAAAAATATGTGCATTAAATTTCGTGATGGTATGTCATCATACTGCTAGAATTAATTTCAAGATTATGCCAGAGAAATTTCCTGAAATTTAGAAATATTATTTACTAATATTAATAAATTTAGAGGGAAGAAGCATCATTAAATTATACGAATAAACATAAAAATAAAGATAATTACTTAAAAATTGATTAGAATAATCAACGATATTTTAGCGAATATAGTTATATTACATGGTTAGCCTAGATGACAGATTACTATTTTTATTTTACTGCAAAATGGCAAGGTATTTATTAAAAAGAAAAGTTTAAAAAGATTTTGCGGTAAAATTCTAGTATACGGTAAGGCTTTGGCACGATTTTGAAAATTGTCGCCAAGACCAAAATGACCCGTTTACTGCGCATCATCATGTCACCAAATCCTACATGGAGATTATTTTAACCAAAAAAACGTCTATGCAAAGAATCTCTATTCTTTGTCTATGTAAAGAGAAATTTTCCATACAAGTAAAATGCTATTACGCCCTAGAATGCGGAGGGAAATTTGCCAAGGGATTTGGCGACGGAACCTGGCGGCCAGAATTTCCCTCTCCGCGATGTGTACCGGAAATTGAGAAACGTGTTAAGAAGAAACGTTCTTTGACAAAAAGAAAGCTACGAAAATCCGTTTTTAAATTATTGCGAAAATCCAAGAAGAAACTTTTATCAAAGGACGTTTCTTCTTGGATTTTTTTCGCAATAATTTTAAAACGGATTTTCGTAGTTTTTCCCCCCCCCCCTGAAAATTACTAACCTATGAATTAATTTACTTGCGCCAAAAAATATTTTCTTTTAATTTAATTTAGAGTTTACTACTTGCGCTAAGACTAACTTCACGGTTGCGGTGCCGTGCGCTACAATATAGCAAGTGGTAAAGTGTCTCATTTACGCCGCTCCGCATCTGCGAGTGCAATCCAGAGCTGTAACTCGAGAAATAAACAATCTCGTTGTTAGGCGACGTGTGCACCATGTTATTTTCATTTTTGCGATAAATGCTTATCGACGTGGGGTTCACGTCGCTCGCAGTTTGAGACAAAAACATCTCGACGTGCGTGGCACGTCTTTTTAGCGCAAGTGGTTAAAGAAATTTTAAAGGATATTCATTTAATGAACTCTTGATAACGTGACCTTCGAACTTCGACACCAGTTTCCAGCTTTGGCGGCAGACATATCACGCATGCACAGATGTTTCCCTCTATGATGGAACGGAGCCACGTCTGTTGCAGAGAGGTTTTCCTTCTTTACAATACATATTCTTTGATTCTAACCTCCATGGTACCGTATACTAAGATTAAACCCATTTTGTTTTACGAGAACAGGTACTTTCTTTAGTTCATGCATTGCACATGCGATTCTCGAGAATACTGGAAACCAAAAGTTGCGGGAAACTTGCTTTGCTTTTCTAAAAGGCAATCAAATTGGAGCTGCGAAAATTGGCTCTATGCCAGCAGACACTCACGTGATAGGCAATTCGCCAAAAAAGTTATCTCTTCCGACGTCGGCGCAAAAATCGCTTTTTTTGGCGGGATCATTGTATGAACTTCCCTGACTTTTCCAGATTTTGACAAAAATACTTAAATTCCCTGACTTTTCCCTGAATTTTTTGGTCAATTTTCGAATTCCCTGACTTTTCCCGGTTCTCCCGGTTTTCCAGGTAGCGTGGCAACCCTGGGAGTGGGGAAGATTGTAGCCGTTCTTTAGATTTCTCGGCTAAATAAATGATTTTGACATTTCGATATGTGCATCATATAAAAATAGACCAACGGAACTGAGAAATATTCTGCTTAGAAAGCACAGTAAAACTCTTTTAAGTGTTCATAAACAATTCAGACTGAACATCAAAATTAATTATCTCTGCAAAATACCGCAAACGTTATTGCGCAATACGTGCGGCGTAATTCTTCCGCATGTGATATTACGCAATCGGAATCAACAGCTGCCGGTATTGGGAGAATAAAGAACTAAATAAAGGAAAAGAAAGAGACAACCTTTTACACGCCAATGTTCCATAAATGGAACATCGAATTTAAAATTCCATAAAAAACACAATTTTATTAATATTGCTTTGTATAAATTATTACATGGAGAGTAAATATTGACTGATGTTTTAGTAGCAATATAATTCTTCTAAAAGAAAAATTATCTTGATAAAAATATTCATTATTTCACCTTTTTTCCTTCTTTTCTATGAGCAAAATTCAGAAATTCACATAAAATTAAAAATTCAACAAATGTTTTTAAAACTCAATGAGGATATTTAAAAAGGATCATTTTATGCATAGACAGTAAGTTATCATAATAAGATGATGATTATTTTTTACTCTGAGGTAAGAAATGTGGATGTTCCAGAAAGGTAACATTGGCGTGTAAAGGTATATTTTTTAACATGATGAAATTACTTTGATTGCCGTGAATAGAGGCATGGAGAAAGATTTTCCAAATGTGAAAAGTTTCAGTAAGTGTGGAAAACAGATGTTTATGACTGTTAATCTGTTTTCGACTCCCGTATATCCCCCTCCTCTCCTTTCACACATTCCCATAAGGGTTTGAAGTGAGTTACTCAAAGCTGCTAGAGAAAAGCACATGGCGTTTCATGATAGGCTAGATGCTAGAGGTTGTTTATGACTCATTGAAAAAGGCGCATATTTTGAAGTGTGGATTTCATTACTTTCCCATTGTTTGCATTTTTTTTTTTTTTTTGTTCAGTTCGTGAAGATACACTACGCTGATAAGATGGCTCATTCAGAAGCATTTCAGTCTATGAAGAAGCATTGGAATATTTTTATACATAATCAGATGATGAAGAGTGTATTGATATTTGTCTGCTGCCTCCAAAAGAAACTGGATGTTTGACAGATGAGGAAGATGTAAATTAAGATATTTTCCGAGCCTGTTCTGCCAGCGGATGTATGTGGAAAAATCGAATTTTCTAATAAAATAGATGATGATGATGAAATATCTCAAGAAATTTCATTCGATCCTCAAGAACCTTCATCTTCAAAGGGAAGAAAGAGTTTGAAGTGAAAACTAATAAATGCAAAAGAGAAAATCATTGAACATCGGTGGGGGGAAAATTTAAATGTTAACAAAAGTCTAAAAACTGGCAGCATTGAAAATATTTGCGAAGTGTTTCCTGAACTAGTTACTTTATCTCCAGTTGAAAATTTTCACAAATTCCTAACTAGAGAATATTTGCTGCATTTAGCAAATGTGACAGGTCTTTACGCAATGCAGAAAGGAGAAGTTTTAGTTGCAGATGAAAGCGTTATTGGACAGTTTTTTTTATTACTGTTGTTTAGTGGGTATCATGGAGTACCCGGCGAAGATTTATACTGGAGCACTCAAGAAAATTTATCTGTCCCAGTAGTTTCTTCTGTGATGCCAAGAAATAGATTTCGAAAACTGAAAAAATATTTTCATATTATAAATAATACCATGTTGGCATTAGAAGATAAAACAGGAAAGGTTTTTCCTTTTTATGAAGAACTGGAAAAAAACTTTCAACAATTCCGCATCTTCCAATCCTGCAGTGTGAATTATTTGTTACTTATTTCTGCAACTATTTCCCTTGTTTCAGTATAAACTGCTAACAATTAATGTAGAATTCTTTTATAAATTCTTGCTTATCAACTATGTAATTTTTGGTTTTAATTTATTACGAAAGCTTTTTTCTGTGGAAGCTTCATATCTTCTCCTAAGAAATTTTGGTGGAGTAGCTTTTCGGTTATAAAGGTGTAGGCTCCCTATTTTTCTGCTTAATCTATGTTACTTCCGAATAACGTTGACAAATTCACTTGCTAATGCTGAAAAAGTGCAGTCAAAAATGAAGCTTCCAATTAGAAAGTCGATAATCATGTTTTACAAAAATCATGTAAAAAAACTAACTGTTTCCTGCCAATGTTCCATTTATGGAACGTTATAAATCATTAAAAATTTTTTTTTAATTTTTTTCTTTTTTCATAATTCTTATATTTGAGTTTTAAAACGCATTTTCACAATAAAACGTTTATTTTACTTTCGCATCATAGTTTGGCGTGTACAAGGTTTTAACTAATTGGGGTGTTTCTGATTCTAATTTTCAACAGACTGTGCTAAATTTCCAGAATAGAATCAATCTTCGCTTAGGTTGGATAGACCGCAAAAACTTTTAGTCCTATTCAATTAAGATTGGACAGTGACAACAACAACAACAAAAAAAAAAAAGAGTCTGCCTGCTTCAATATTAGAGATTTTGCGGAGAAAGGGGAGAACCTACCCAACATGCTGTACTGTATAATGTATTGGGGGGGAAAAAAAAATTATTTTGTCTATTCGGTTACATTCCTTTTATTTAAGCCATTCCGAATATTATTCCTTATAAAGCTAATCTGTGTAAAAACAACACCCATTTTTGGAAGTTTATCTATACTTCAGCAGTTACTGCAACTATATTATTATAAATATTCATACATATGCTCATAATATAAGCATAATGATCATAATAAACACGAATATGAACTGACCATGCAGAACGAGAATGCAAATTATTAAAGCCTTGATAGAAATTCAAACGTGTGTAGTATTTGGGTGGGAGGAAAAGAATACCGAATGTACCGGAATTTTCTACCATTTTCCCAATTCTTTGACCAATAGAACGACGTGCACCTGTCTGTACTCTCAAGCGCACCATAGGTTAAGTTAATGCAGAGAAAGGGGGCAAAAGCAATTTCCGGGAGTATGATTCACCATCTGACATTGCATTATGAGGAAGAAAAGTTGTTTATTTAGTTTCGGCTTTGGTACGGGGAAAAAATGTGCGTTCATTTAAAAAAAAAGGGGGGGGGATTAAAAAAATCACTAAAAGCAAAATATAAGCACTAAAAACAAAAAAATACACGCTTTAAAGAAATTATATTTTATTTTCAAATATAAGGACTAATAAGCACTTGTAAGGACCGCTACGAACCCTGTTAAAACAATACCTATATGGCTTCTGAAACAAAAGAAATGGAACTAAATAAAAAATTGCAAAACAACAGCACATATTTACCCTCATCTGTGACATATGCATAGCCCTTGCTAATAAGTCTTTCACAAAAAGAAATAATAAGAGGTATATTATCTGTTACACGGCATATTATAGATGGCGGCTTGATTTGCATAGCTGCCATGTCATTAAAGAAATCTAACTCGTATTTCTTAGAAACTTGAGAAACGTTCTTTCCCACCTAAAAATATAAGTTTAATAGAAAAATATTTTATGACATCTCATTGGAATGATTTTTACCATACTGTTAATATAAAGTATGAACATAGATATAAATATTACCTTATTTGCTTCCTTTATAATTTTATCATCAATGTCAGTAATTCCCATTAGTAATAAGACATTGATGCCAAAAATATTTTCCATAATTCTCCTTATGATGTCAAATTTTACATAGCAACTGTTAATAAAAGATACTTAAATTAAACTAAAAAAATCTGTATAATCATTAAAATATCAAAAATACAAGATATTTCATTTCGAGGGAAAAACTTAATAATCAAAACATATTGTTTTTTAAATATCGTTACATGCTTTTAGGTTCATAATGGATTAAATGCATACAGAATCAAAGACAGCTTGATAAAATTTATTTATCACCACAAGACACCATTTCGAATGTGAAGTGAGTGCTACACAGCCCAATATTGTTTTGTCATAGGAGGTTTCTTATCCAAGAACTCCATTAGGTCAATTATTCGGTTTAAAATAACAATCTTAAACTTCCTGACTTCTTTGTCACTCCCTGAGTCTCGATCAACCAATGTTGAAGTTATAATTTGATGTGCGACCAGATTAACCAGTTCACATTTCACCCTGAAACAACATCGGCAAATCTTTTAGGCAAAGCTCAAATGATCCTTTAAAATGACAACAGTAATGTCATATTCCAGGAGTCTCTATATCCATCTGGCTGTTTGGCCTTTTATATTCTTAAAATTTAATAGCCAGGTCAATGATGTACGATCTGTGCGGAGCAGGAGTTTTTTGCCATAGAGTTGATGGTGGTTTCATACTGCATTATGGTCATATTATGTACGGGCCTTCGATAAAAGAAATGTTCTTCATAAATTTCCTACAGTAAATGCAGAGCCCAAGGAAACTTCTCAGCTACTGGACATATTTGAGACGACTCCAATCTTTAACTGCCCACATATTTTCTGGTTTCCTATGTGCACCTTTGCAAGAGATGACATGTCCAAGGTAAGTCACTTCCTCTCTGAATAATTTATATTTGGCAGAATTTAAATTTAGATTTACATCTTTCAATTTCTGAAGAACCTTTCTAAGATTTTCTGAATGCTCTTTGAACCTTTTCCCGAATGGTGATGATGTTATAGACTTTATCAGAAAGAATTCTCAATACAGTCCCTAGGAGGCATTCAAATGTTGCTGATGCATTACATAACCCAAACAGCATCACCTTGAATCGCCAAAGTCCTTGTCTAGTAGTAAATGTAGTCTTTTCTACCCGCAAGCATCCACTCTTTAAATCAGGAGTTGAAAACCACTTGCTTCCAAAAAGTGTGTCCAGAATATCATCAGTTCTAGAAAGAGGGCAGCTGTCTTTCTTCATGATGTCATTCAACCTGTGATAGTCAACGCAAAATATAGTTGAAACATCCTTCTTTCTGACCAAGATGACGGGAGAAGCCTAAGGACTTGTTAGAAGGCTTGGTAACATTGCTTTCTTACATGTCCTTTAAAAGTTTTCCCTTCCTCTTCCTATGTAATCGGTAAACGTTTTGGATGTTGCTTCATTGGTTATTGTTTTCATTTCATGTACCAATTCTATGTAGTGCCAAACTAGTTTGAGGTATACCAGATGACTGGGAGAAAACATCTTGAAATTTTAGAAGGATATGTTCAGCAGCACACCTCTCTTCATTGCTTAATTGGGCATTCTACAATAACTCCAATGTTACGCTCTCCAAAGACACAGAGACTGAAAGATTTTATTGGTTCATTTAATGTGGGCCACTGGAGTACATGCTGCAACCATTTTGCCTTTCCTAATGACTTATCACTTACATTTGCACCTCTTACTGGGATGACAGTCCTCGATAGGTCGACATGACAAGATATCTATATTTAGATGGAAATCTGATACATTATATAGTATATAGATACCTTTCTTTAATATTATGTCTATTTTCTATAACACCCTCTTAAATTTAGGAAAAGATCATGTGATATCGACATTGTTTGAGAGCATTAACTATTAACAGGTGGCAACTTTATGTTGTCTTTAAGAAAATGACAAGTCTTCCTGCGGCCAAGTGATCACTGAACACTGGCAGTTCAATCTAAATTTGAACCTAGATGAATGACCTAGTTACATGGTGGTTTTCATTCCCTTTCTCATGTGTAATATGAATAACTAGTTCAAAAAGTTTTTCTATGTTATGAAGGATGTTTAAGCTATGTGATCCACATAGGTATATCTTCCCTTACACAGATAGACCTTGTGTGTTTTGCTATAATCAAATATTATAAGAAAATTACAGCAATCCTGTCTAAAAGGAGGAAGACCTTTGTGGTGGGCTTTTTAAGGTAACTGACACTTATGTTGCACATGGAAAGCCAGCCTTTTCATTGAGATTCAAAAATTGGATTGAACTATCAATCTTCAGCATTCTTAACCAGTGGGCTACTGGTAATTTGCTAAAATCTTTAATGCAATGGAAAATCTGGCAATGTAAAATGTATGGCAATTTATTCACTGAGAGTAATAGTTTAGAACAGCATACATTTTAATTATAAAGTATTGCATCAAAAAATGTAGGTACTGAAAATAGTACTTTCTAATTACCTGCATCCCTGATTTCAACATTTGGTAGAACTGTTGTTTTTTGCCATCTTTATTTACTGAGAGCAATAGTTAACAGGGTTCGTACACATTTCTACACATGGAAATTAAGTACTTTTAAGGACCATTAATGAAAAACATTAAGGACCTATGCAAATATAGCAAATTAATAAATTCAATTAAAAACATTATCTATGCCTGAACTTCACTTTTGTAATACCATCCAAAAAATAAAATAGATTTGTAAGCAGGATGCATTATTAATAAAAATAACTTAATTACCGTAATTATTAATAAGTTTGAGAATGAAATATACTTTATGAAATTTATCAAATAGCATTAAATATTTCACACTTATAATAGTTCGGCATATTTGAAAGAAGATAAGTGACATTTTATTTACGTTTTACAAATAGTTAGCTTCATGGTGATTTTTTTTAATGTCTCATTTTGTCACATACTTACTCAGTCTAGTAATAGTAAGTAGATTTTAAGCCAAGCACCATAGGTTAAAATGAGAAGTAAAATCACAATCAGCATGATTCAAAACAAAAGATTGGCTGTTCTCGCCGCTCCTGCTTCCCTAGAGAGAGACCTGCTGATCAGAACAAACCTGAAAGACCTGATATAAGCACGGTTCACAAGTTTTGAAAGTTAGCTGGGCTCTGTCTAACGCAGATACTGTCATAGCTTTTTGTAGAGTTCGAGGGCTTGTAACTCAGATAACATACTTTAAGGTCCTAATTATCCACTAAAGCACCAGAGGTGATAGATAAGTTGTTTTGCATTATTTTAAGTCTCACTAGATGCGAAGAATAGGTTTTATATGAATTTTTACATTTTTGTGATCTTAGTGACCACGATAAAGGTTAATAAAAGTCAATAACTCGCTTTAAAATGCAGGGGCAATTTTTAACGGTAACCAGTTAGTTATAAGTAATTAAATTAGATAAGCTTAGTTATTATGCATTTACATGGGCACTATTAAATTTTATTTATTTTTTAACAATATTTTTAAAAAAAGCCCTATTAAAAATCACAATCTAATAAAATTCCACAGTTTAAAATACATGTAATTTATGACATAGATTCTTAAACGATATTAGAATAATTACACATTAAAAGCTACAAAATATTTATGTTCTGTAAGCAACAACACTCAACAAAATATTTATGTGTCTTTTTAATTTGAAGCCCTCCTAGACATTTTGGCTAATTTATATCAATTTCCTTCTCTTTAAGCAACTTTTCTAACAGTTAGAACTTTGTCTCAATATGCAAGACAATGTTCTTACTAGTTTCTGCGTGTTTTATCTCCTAACCTGTCAACCTCTTCAAAATGTACCTATGAGGGTTTACTTGATCTGGTGAAAGTTAAATAGTCCAAAACCCTCCGGACAGACGTGAAGCAAATTATCGCTATGTCTGAAAGTAACTACAGAGTCAGACAAAAGTTTAAATAAGCCTCATATTTAAAGAGAACTTAAAGGCATGTTCTAATGCTAACCAAATTAACTGCAGCTTGTGGTGATGTAATTAAACAAGAACAGTCAAATTCAAACAAAAATTGTGGACTAGTGGTCAAAGATTGTACAATTTAATTTTAATTTAAGCTGGCTCAGTAACTCACTTGTAACTCAGTGGGCTCACTTGTGCCATGGTTTTGGAAGTAGGGCCTCGATTCTTAGCTTCTAGTTGTGTTATTTTGTAGGTATCACTAGATACGTAGCGTATTCGTAAACTAAGTACCGTTTCATTCTAGCACAGTCGCAGCGTTGTGGTAGGCATCCCGCGCATTCGCACTAGTCTTTCTTGTTCACTGACTTTCAATTGTCGCCATTTTGGTTGCTCTATGTTGTGTTTTCAGTTTGCTGTGCATATTCAAAATGTTTAAGACAATTAGTTCTCCCGCTGACTGTGAGATTTGTGTCGTGATTAAATTTTTGAACGCGAGGAATGTTAAACCAGCCGAAATTTATCGTCAAGTGACAGAAGTTTACGGTGAATACGCGATAAGCGATGGAATGGTGAGAAAGTGGGTAAGAATGTCTAATGCAGGTCGAACAAATGTCCACGCCGAGGCTTGGAGTGGTCGGCCTTCAGTTGTCAACAATGATTTGGTAAGGAAAATTGATGAAGCAATTCTTAAGAACAGACGCTTCAACTCTTTCAGAGAAATTTCCACAAATTTCACGTACTGTATTGTTCGAAATTGTGTCTGACCGCTTGAATTATCGCAAACTGTGTTCCCAATGGGTTCCAAAAATGCTCACTGATGTTCACAAAACAAAGCGACTTGGTAGTGCCCTGACATTTCTCACGCGCTACATTGATGAGGGAGAAAACTTTAAACCAAATTGTGACAGGTGATGAAACTTGGGTGTGTCATTTCACACCAGAATCGAAACAACAATCGATGGAGTGGAGACACACTCATTCTCCGAAAAAACAAAAGTTCAAAGTGAAAATGTCATCACAAAAAATCATGTGCACTGTCTTCTGGGATACAAAAGGCGTTTTGTTTACTGAATTTCTTCCCAGAGGTGAAACCATTAATGCGGCACGATATTGTGAGACTTTAACAAAACTAA